GTTTTGTTTTGTTTTTTCTTGAAAGGAGGGTAGAAAGACTGGAAACATCTAACAGTGTACCAAGTCCTCTGTGCTGTCTTTGAGTCCCTTAAGCAATTATTACTAATTTTTTTCAAACTGTTACGTTACTGTTTTGGGGCTAGTCTTCATTGCTATGGGTTATGCCGATTTTCATATTATAACATTGTTGCATTTTCCTTTTCATAAGGATCGTTTACTATCTGTTGAATAACAAAATTGCAGGGTCTGGAAGCAGAATGTAACTGTTCTTAATTGAAGGATACATAGTAAAAGCTACACAAAATGAGAAACAAGTCCACTTTCTGTAGCCTTCTGAGATAACAGTCATAATCCTGTCTACTGAAATTCAGTATTGTTTTAATAAAGGATAAGAGAGAATCTGGCTTTGGATCAGGCAGAACTTCATTAGACCAGGAGAAATATTGCATGCCATCAAATGTCAATTTATATTCTATTATAAAAAGGTCTGTGTAAAGTGTTAGTTGTGCTACCTTCATCTGTAATGTATATGTTTCTCCCATTGGTCCCTGAGTGAGGAAGCATGGGAATTATAATTGCCAGCTGTCATTTGTTCGCTAGGGCAAGAGCTGCCTCTTTGCTGAAAACAAAGGTCTGACATAGGTTATTGTCTGAAATTGTTATTCATTATTTAGTTTACCTACTTACAACAAAATACTTCCTGACTGCTTTTAAGATTGTGGGTGTCAGCAGAGCGGAGCTTTCTGTTCCAAGTGCTCCTGGTACCGTAGTGCTAGGTCAGAGAAGTGAGAAGGCCTGTAGCTTGCTTTATCTTTGCAGGAGTCTAATACACCTTCACTGAGACATGCTTCTGTGGGAAGATGCGTAGGAACCTATGTGTGGGAGAGGGAGTAACAAAATAGTTGTTAGAAAACATGCTGTGAGTTGAGGCTGTGCCATGTCATTGTCTCAGGATTTCAGAAAGGCGCTTTGGGCTCAGCGGGCAGAGGTCCAGACTGCAGCCTGTCCGTCCTGCAGATTGTGTCTGAAGTAGAAGGGGGGAGGTGACAAAAGAGCAATGGGTGATAGCAGGGAGGAATTTAAGAAGATAACAAGACATTGTTGTTTAGTATGAATGGCAGTACACACTGGGGTCCTAATGAGCCTGCTGGAGGCTTTTAGATATTGGTTTGTCTACTCTTATTTTTATGCATAGGACATTGATGTGTTATTTAGAATATGCTCGGAGGAAAGTTGTTGTATATGAGTCTCTGGTCTCCTATTGCAGTTTTGGAGTAGGCAACTTGGCAAATTTGAGTTGTTACTGTAGGAGCCACAGCTACACCACAGAGAAAGCTATCCTTTCTCTGTCTATCAGAACAAGACTGAAATGTGTTTAAAAAACTGTATCTACTGGATTATGGGAAAAAAACCCACCCTACTTAAACTTGTCTCAAAGCTGGCAGGTGCATGTGGTTCGTTCAGTGCTTGTTATGAGTCACTCCTGATTCTCAGTGAGTACCTGGTGTTTGTTCATTCCCTGTCTCTTTTTATTTTGAACATCAAAGTGAGCACCACCCTGATTGCTGGCTGGTACGGATTCTAAGTAAGGCTTTTAGCTGCCCTAGAATTGGTTTTCAGGCCTGTTCAAGAATTTTGCCTCTGGCAGTATTGTTAGAGGTACTATTGCCATGAGTAAGTAGCATAAGAAGTTGGTGATCTTGGCTAAAAAACTGTAACAAGTTTCACATCAAATCACCCCAACTGTAGTGATTCACATTACTTTTGCTGTCTTTTCTGTGTCGCTATCTGTAGCTGCAGAGCGGGCTCTAAAAAAACGCACCAGTTATTTGCTTGACAGTCCTTGGTTTGTTCTAAGAAACTATTGTTAGGTATTAAAACTGAGGAGACATTGCTGATGACAATGATTTCTAAATTTGCATCTTCATGTGCTGTGTGGTAATCCAGACAAGAGAAATGAGCAGATTTACAAATTCATACGACATGGTTTTAATGTGATTCTAATGATATACTTTTCTCATAATTCACTGAGAGCCAATGGTATTAGCTGTAGGGTTCCACAGCTTGAAAACAATTTGCTTGAAAACTTAATACTGTTCACACTAGGTGTTTGCCATGAAAAATCCTATTGTCATTCGGCACAAAGAATTGAAACTTATGCATAAAGCTGCACTTTACACTTTGAACAACAACAACAAAAAAAATCCAGTTTGAATGAATTTTAAATACGTACACCCTTGTCCTTCAAACTTAAAAGATCAAATCTTCTTTTGCAGTCTAAAGTCAGTGAGTGAAACCCTGTGTTCATTACATTTAATGCAGCATTGTCCTTGATTTCAGTTAAATGGGAATTTTCAGGTAAAGGGTTTTCTTTCACAAATTTATATGAAAATCTGATCCTTACTTACAGAGTTCCAAAGAACTTTCTAAATGAGGCAAGTCAAGTAACACTTCCTCCTTGAAAACAGGGGTTAGATGAAAGAATGGGTAATGATATAATCTCTTGATTTTAAACTCCCTATGGATTCTTAATGGATTAGTGATACCCCTGTAAGATTTTAAAATAGCTAGGACATGCTTCTTTCTTTGTACCAGAAATATTTTAATATTGTATGCTTTCAGTCAATAATTTGATTATCTATTTAATTATCTCTGTAATGATTCAGTCTATTAGGAAGGCCATAATATATGTCCCACATCTGAGTCTCGAAAGAGACAATCGGTTTCTTTTCTGCATGAGGTATTAGCACAAGTTTCTTAGAAGCTGTATTTGTTCGGCACTTTGCTTCCTTGTGGTTTTGACCACAACTTTAGTCTGAGAGGTACAGAGCATGAAAGTGTGTGTAGGATGTGGCAATTTGCCCTACCAACTTGCTAAACTATTTGATGAGCAGCTTGTAGATTTTTAGATGTATTACTTATGTAAAGATTCAGCTTCTGTAGCTAAAAGAATTTCCAGAAGCAATAAGAAGATTATGTGTTCAGTTTTGTGGTTGTTATTTAAAACAGTATTTTAAGATTTAAACTCCCACTCATTTCACAGTTTGCTTTTTTATTAACCTACCCCCCACAATCCTCTCAGTAGTTGTTTTATTACCTTTATTTGGCTCAAGATGCCTGTTGCCTAACACAGAAGTGCTTTTCTTTGCTGACTCTTTGTGCCTTTAGAGGGGAAAAAAATTTATTGCTAAAGTAACCTTCAGTGGTTTTTTTTTTTTTTTTAATGTATGCTTATATTCATTCATTTAACCTTTTGAAAAATTGCAGTAGGAGCAGTTTACTTGCACAACTGTCCTTTTAAACCAGTCCATGTAAGCAACTCCGTATTCATTGTTTTCTGGAACACCCATAACTTTCTCAAGCTGTTATGATAATGGGAGATTTGAAAGCTCCTTTTTTCATTTGCTGCTTCTTGAAATCATGATTAAAAATGTTATTGGAGTTTACTTAGCTGAGGGATCTGCAAACTATTTTAATTTTGGATGGACGATTCAATTTTTTGGCCAAGTTTAACACTACTGGAATTCTCCTGAGGTGCAGGGATTTGTTGCAATGTCAGCAAATGTAAGGTGTATGTGCTTGATTTGAATTCAAGTCTGGCTGGGAATGAGTGGGAGATAGGACAAAAAGCGGGGAAGAAGACAGTACACCAGTGGGTCTGTGCTTTTGGATTTGGAGGACATGAAAAATGAAAATACGTAGTACCTGAGAGCTTGTCACTGGCACCAACCATACTTCACTGTGTACCTTGATATTAGGTTAGAGGTTTGAACTCATTCATTTTGGCAGCCTCTGGCTGAGGCAGCCATGAAGTTATTTGTTGGGTTCTCTGCAAGTAGTTCTGTGAGATTCTTTCCTAGTGTCTCTCACAGAGCCTGGAAACTGTATGACAGGGTGGGGTTTTTTTGTTGTTATTGTTTGGTTGTTTTAATTTATTTAACATAATTGCTTGTCCCTTAAGATGATGGTCGTTTTAAACAAGTAGTTCAACAGAAGTATTTATTGAAGCTCTGTAGAGCTCAGTGGAATTCCCCTCATCTGTGCAACCTGCTCATCTTGTTCTGGCTAATTTTGCAGCCTAGAAAGCTGAGGTCTTCCTTCTGCTCTGAGGATGCTGTTCACCTTGCTGAATCATAGGTTCTGGCCTCTCCCCAGGAGAACCCTGGTAATGGTGGTTCTGTCAGAGGGCAGAGCTGAAGAAGCAGCCCCTGGTGATATTGCCACAGGCCTGGGATCTCTACAGAATGCCTGCTATTGTGCAGGAGTGTAGCTTGCTTTCTTTTTTATTGTAACTTTTTTTCCCCATGTGTTTCTTGACAATGAGGAGCACTCATGATTTTCTTGGAGTTACTTGAGGTAGGGATCCTTAGCTTCTGGGAGGTGTACTAATCTCAGCAGCAATTTCTCTGCATTTGTTCACCCAGCACCGGTTACTCCAGTACAAAGAGGACAGAGCAAAGTCGGGTTGATTCAGTGAGGTTATGGAAAGAAGGACATTTCTGGCTAGTACTTAACAGCTTGGTTTTTGGTTTGTTTTTTTGGTGGTGGTTTGTTTGGGTTTTGTTTTTTTTTTTTTTAGCTTTTGGCACTGTATAATCAGGAACATTTCCCTTATCAGTTATATTATACTATGTTAGTTAAATGTAAAATCTAAATATTTAGACATAGTCTTTTTTGATTAACATTATCTTTAGACAGTAAACCTAGGGGAATTACTATTTAAGGCTAGTCCAAAAACGTCATACCTGTTCTTATGTAAATTAGGCAAACAAAAAATAACAAAATTCAGAACTGTACATTCTGCAATCACATTGACTGGATTTTCTATTCATTTGTGTCTTCTGGGGGAGTTTGGGAAAGAAAAGAGCTTATCACAGGAACTGCAGGTTGTTATAAGCCGCAGCCTGTTGGTTAGCCGGAGGAGGGGGCTTGTAGGAACCTGCCAAAAGAGCTTATGTTAAAACTGTAAAGTGACTCTTCTGAATATTTGCTCACAGTAACAGATCAAGCCTTTGTGACCCTTGCTACCGATGATGTGTACTGTCAAGGTGCTCTGGTTCTTGGACAGTCATTGAGGAACCATACAACATCTAGAAAATTGGCAGTGCTAATTACACCAGAGGTTTCCAGTGGGATGAGGTAAGGATTCATGTATTTTTGGAGGCTGATAATATGGAAAAATAAACAACAGCATGAAAGATGTTAATAGGTTTCCTGTGGATTTCACAGCATTATGTCTAGAAGTTCCCCCTTGGCTAGAGATTTCTGGGAGGAATCACAAATAACTTCCATGATAAGATCATAAGCCTAAGAAGAATTCACTTGCAGAAGTAGAGCTTGTGGCTGGAAGTTGTCTTAAGTCCATAATTGGGAACATAAGCTGAAAGTTTGGGAACTAAGATTTTTATGTCTTGCTTTTGAGCCGAAATAAAGGCACTACACTTCCCCATTCCCCACCAAGTCATTCTATTTAAGAAAGAGCAAGATACATAACCACGTGACATCAGAACTCTCCAAAAACCTTAGGGGCTCAGTTTCAGATGCTTAATCTTAAAATATTGGTGCATGGCTATCATGATAAGAGGTTGATTTATTTTTGCTTCTTTTTTTTAATCACTTCCTAATTTGGGTTGTGATTTTACAGACATAACAGAATTTAGTGTACGGAAATGTCATTAGGTATGTTGAACTCAAGCCCTGTTATTTAGAGGACTGTGTTGCTTGTTAACAGTAACACTCTGGCTTAGGAAGTCTGCAAGCTCCTGATTTCTGTATGCCATGTGAAAGTATTTCCAATGCATCTGGCTCAAGAAACATACCTTCCATTTTTTTGCTGTGATTAGATGTACAGAAATCTGTTTTTACAGGTTTTTTGAAGTATGGATTTTGTCAGAACGCTGTAACCTTCCTGAGGGAATGCTTTATACATTTGACACCTGGGTGGATACTAAGTCCATCAGTTTTTCCATTCTCATTCAGCAGGGGGAAAAAACCTTTGTATTTTTTAATCAAGGATAGCATTTAAAAAACAGTACATCACTGAACTATGCTTCTGAAAATCTGTACCTACTCTTAATTCTTTCCCAGGTTAACTCCTGACCCTTGAAGATCAGTCATGCAACAGCTAATTATTCTGAAATCTAGATAATCAACACAGGCTTTTCTTTTTCTGTGTTTGTATGACATCCAGGACTCAGTAGTTAGTAGTGTAATGTAAATAGATAAGCTGTGTTTAAAAGACTTTTTTCTTTTGTCTTGAAGGAAAATTACCTACTTTGGTATCACCTCTAAAATTCCCATGAAAGATACGCATAGAAAAAAAAGTCTTCCTGAAAGTGTTTTTTGAGGCGATTTGTAGTAGTGAGCAAGTATATATGGCCTGTTTTAAAAGGCGCAGTTCTGAATCTGCATTTATTTGGGCATAATAGGCGCAAATGACTGTGCTGACAGCACATGCCACATCATGTGCACTGCACAGGGAACACGATATGGTGCTGTTCTTCAGAGACAATTGTGCAGAATGAAAGTTGATTTAACTTCTGTTGGTGTTTCTATAGGAGATTAAGTAACTAAAATAAGGATTGGTTTCTCTTCCATACTGCATCTGTTGCTTTTGAGATGTGGTTGTCCCATAATGGAAGAGGTGATGGTTTATGGCCTGATTGATAGCTGTCATTTCAGCAGACTCTTTATAAGGACTTTTTGCTTTTGTCTTCTCATTCTAACCAATCAATCCAGCCTTTGCTATTGTCACAATAAGTGTGGTGTTGTATGTCACTGTTTTCATGCCAGAAGTGAACTCTGACAAACCTCTCTGAATTCTCTTCTTTCTCTCCACTGCTTGTTATGGTAGGTCTGTCCTCCGCAGCGTGTTTGATGAAGTCATCGAGGTGGATGCACTTGACAGTGCTGACTCAGTCCGTTTGGCTCTGATGCAGAGGCCGGAACTAGGTGTAACCTTCACTAAACTTCGCTGTTGGACTCTTACTCATTATAGCAAATGTGTCTTCATGGATGCAGACACTTTGGTGAGTAGAGTGGGAGCCATGGAAATGTTTGTGTCTGTCTTAAAGAGCTACTCTGAGTGTGGGATGCTTCCTCGTCAGGCAGCCTACAAGGCCTGTGAAGTGACCAGATTTATCACTGGTGACAAGGTCGCAGGAGCTGCAGCTGGCATGTTTTGGCAATGCTCACAGTTTTGCCAGCTGCAGAGAAATAAATTCTGTTTTGAGAGTAGCCTCAGGACAGTCCTCAAAAGATATAACAAACTCGCTCTATGCTAATGGTTTTCTGACAGATGGTTAAAATAGGTCTCTCTCATATAATCTTGTTTGGACTTATTCTGGTCAGGAAGGCAGGCCACTTTTAAAATGGGGGGGGGGGGGGGGGGGCCCAGAAACATGAATTACTTCTAAAAAACAAAAAAAGAAAAAAAAAAAAAAAGAGTCGTAGAGATTAAAATGACCATAATTTTGGCAAGGATAATCATGTCAGCCTTCCCCTGCACTTACATGGCTCACTTTGGAAGACTGGGATGCACTTCAATTTAATAGGATTGTATTTGAATTAGAAACCAAATTAAGTTATTCTTCTCAGGGGTGAGGGGGAGAGGCTTAAGATTTCTTGCTTTGCATTAAAGTTAAAGGAGGAAGGCAAATTTTGTTTTTGTTTTAAATTGAATGGAGTAATTTTTCTCCTAAAAAGATTTTCTTCTCTTGCTTTTCACAGTGGCTTGGTTGTGGGTGGGTTCCAGACTTTCAGCTACTGCACAGCTGTCTTTCCACCAACTTTAAAAGTGATCTGGGCCTTAATCTGATTGATTTTCCCCACTTCCTTGTGAAGCTTAAAAACCAAACCAAAGCAATGCAAACCTTTGAGTTTAACTTACAGTAGAAAATTGTTAACAAGAGACAGTTTTTCTGCTACCCTTTTAGTCAGTCTGTTGCTAACTCAAATTATTTGGATGGTCAGCTTTCATTCAGCTCTGTTGCAGTTACTGAGAATAATGGACTATGGGAAGGTGAGCTAGGAAAGAAGGAAATTGTGCGTTTTCATGGTATGTTATAATATTTAAAGGGACTTTCTGGAAAGTCTCTGAGGTTCATGAAATAATTTCAGAGGCCTTGTGCTTTTATCAGAGAAATTGATATTGTGGAGAACCACAGTTAAAGTTTCCTTATTATATTAAAAGTAGAGGTTCTGACCCCCAGCATATTTTGCATTGCCACTGCTTTTATGCTATGGAAGCTATATACTTGCCCAAACTATCAATTTACTCCATTGGTACTGATTTAGCAACTCATGTTCTAGAAAAACATTTGCTCTAACAAATTTTTTTTTCCTACCGTCTCTAAGGTGCTTTGCAATGTTGATGAATTGTTTGATCGAGAAGAGTTTTCAGCAGCTCCTGATTGTGGCTGGCCTGACTGCTTTAATAGTGGCGTATTTGTGTTCCGACCTTCTTTGAAAACTTACAACTTACTACTCCGGTTCGCTGCTGAACATGGCAGCTTCGATGGTAAGGGGCAAGGCATAAGGGATGAAGTGCAAGACATTAGATTCCTTTTCAGCAAGCTGTTTTTCCATAGCTTCCGTGCTATCTGGCAGAATAGAAGAAGGCAGGAGTTGTCTGGGCTTTAGGTAATTGTGCCCCCACAAAAATTGAAGGTGCAGACCTTTGCCTCTTACACTGTACTTAAGACCCATTGACCTATTGTGGACTGTGCTTCCCAGAAAAGGGCAATGAAGGGACATTGTGTCTGAGTCTTGCTCAGTAAGTTTTAATTTTGCTGTCTGGTTTAGGAAAGAGAAATACATCTGATCTTCAGTCTTCTGCTCTGAGGGAGACCAAAACCCTTTCCTACTCCTTTCTTCATATATTACAATAGGACTCCATTTACATTGAACTTGCATCGGAGTGGATCAGGTATTATGTGCTTGTACCTGTTCACGTGGCCATATTGTCAAGTCCAAGTTGCAGTCCCATGAACACACCAGTCTCACTCCCATCCTTGGATGTGAAATTTTTACATAAATTTGAGTGTATGCACAATTATGGTAATACTGTTTTATACGTTCTTTAGGGGGTGATCAAGGCTTGTTGAATAGCTTCTTCAGCAATTGGGCAACAGCAGATATTGGCAAACACTTACCTTTCCTCTATAACTTAAGCAGCAGCGCTGTATACACCTATGTTCCTGCTTTCAATCAGTAAGTAGTGACACTTCTGACTGACTGTAAACCTCTGTAGTTTGTTAACAAACATTTCATTATAAGAGAGAATAATAATGACGTAGTCTGTTGACTATAAATTACAGTAGTCAGAAAAGGTGTTATCTAAAAATGATGCAGTATGAATGTCTTGCATCTGGACATAGAAAGTCCCAGAGTTGGCTACTCTATCTCATATATTGTTTCAGAGAAGTTTTTATCATATTTGCAAAAAATGTAGAATACTTTAGCATTAGGTTCTGACAGCTTTACGGTGAAAGCTGTTCCCTTCTTTTCCAGTCAGTTCTATGGGAAACAGTTGTGTGGGTTTTTTGTTCTTGTTTTTTTAAACCATTTCTTGGGTTCTTCCATGAAACTAAATTTGTGCTAGTAATTATATGACTTCAGACAATGCAGTTAGAGAAACTTTTCTGGCAGAAGGCAAGTTGGATTTAAGGTGTCAGGAATTGCTGCTCCAGCTGCACAAAACGCTCTTACTGGAAGGTTGTCTTAGGATGATGTATTTATTAGTAATTTTTAATATGGGATCAGTAATAACCAATTTTGTTGAGTCATTGTTTGAAGTGGTATTTATTTGTTTGTGAACAGAGTATGCAGGAGGGCTGGAAATGGTACTGCATGAGCCTGTCACTTTTTCTTCATGAACTTTTCTACTAGAATCAGTAGCTGGAAAGAAATGGCAATGCAGCCTTTTGTTTTCTGAATGCTAAATAAGACACCTTAAACTAATAAAATAGAAAAAATATTAATATATATACTCATACTGAATGTGTTGCTGTTGCAAAATATTGACATTGCCTCACCAGTGAGAGTAAGCATGTTTCTTTAGCAGTTTATATAGGCTAACAAAGAAAACATATAGACCTGTATGTTTAATCTCTACAGTTTTGGTAGAGATGCCAAAGTTGTCCACTTCTTGGGAGCAACAAAGCCCTGGAACTACAAATACAACCTTCAAACAAAGAGAGTTATGCAGGATGGCACCACCTCTGGATCTTTTCATCAGCTGTCATTTCTTGCCCTCTGGTGGAATATATACAGTGCCAGTATATTGCCTTTGTTAGAAAAACTTCAAAAGGTGGAGGAATCAGAATCTGAAGAATGCAAGGTAACTAATAAGGAGTTAGTGGGGAATATGCTGGAATCACAAGAAAAACTCTGAAAATTATGTGTTTGCTAGAGCAAGGAATTACCTGGGAGAAATCTGTTGATCAGTAGGAGCAGTGATTGCTTCTAAAAACATCTAAACTAGCAGTTTAAGAAGCATTTTTAGTACTACTGGCATTGCCAAGATTTCCCCCAACCCCCTTCTTAATTGATGAAGAGTTTGTATGGGAGTGTATGTGTATAGATTCTGCAAATTAAAAACAAAGTATAATACAAATCAGTCAGAGAAGGTGATAATCTGTCTATGAAACAGACTGTTGACTTTTTGAAGCTAAATTGATGTAGACCATCAAAATGGCCCTTGAACTATAGTAAAAGGTACCTTTTCAGAACTGCATTGTAACTTGTTTTATGAGGGTCATAGCAAATAGATCAGAGGACATTTAGGATGCTATATTCAGTACTTGTATGTCACCAAGCATTTACTGAGCTTTTTATGCTTTCCTCCCCCCTCCCCCCTTCAAAGGAAGTGCAGCAATTTATGGCTTCCATGAATAGAATAAAAATAATCTGTTGATAAATAGATGATTTCTTGGATACCAGCAGCATAAAGTAATGACTAGGAGAAATAAAATTTTAAATTTTCTATCCAGATATGACATTACTTCTATGCTTATGTAAATGTTTTCTTAATATATTTTTAATATTAAACCATTAGCATGATTGAACTAATTGCATAGTGTCATAAGATCAGTTGGACAATTACCATCAAAGCCCAGAGAGTACTTTGGTTTGTTAACCTCAAGACAAATTGGAAAGTAGAGGAAGGAATGGGTAGTTTTTGATCTCATACTTTAACATGTTTTAATTTTTAAGAAATTATGCGGTAAAGGTATATTTCAGCTACAGTAACATGAAGGTGGAAATACCTGTTAATTTACCTCCTGATGGTACTGGCATATTCATGAGTGCAAAAATATAAATTGTAATATGCTCTGAATCTGGACCACAAACTTTCTTGAATTTATTAACTTACTCCTTTAATGCTGAAATCCCTGTAAGGAAGTGAAACTGTTGTAAATAAGATATTGATCTCCTGCAAAATTGTATTTCAGTGGTGAGATGTTCTTTTTTTTGTTAGCACACTTTCAATGGAGTTGAAATTACACTGAAAAAGGTCAGTCCTTATGTGGCCAATTCGCTGCAAATGTCTGTGCTTCCAGAGCAGACATATGAAATATATCCCACAGCATGTTCACCTGAGGAACTCGCTTTCAAAGCAGTAAGTATGTTGTATATTACTAGATGCAGTAACAAAGTAAAATGGTATACTAAAATGAGTGTTTTTTTTAATTATGCTTCTGATCTGAGAGATTATCTCTTCTTCTGTTTAGCTGTAGCTATTGAACTTTCTTGCTAGCATCAGAAATAGCCTGAAGAGTATTTGTTTCCTTTAATCTTTAGTCATGCATGCATGATGTGTCTGGAGGTTGAAAGAGTTTTCATTGAATTTTATAGAGATTGTTTATTTAAAGTTGTTAAGTCTTAATAAAGTGTAATATAAAGAAATTCTGTTACTGAAGTAAACTTTTGAATATTAATACTCTTGTCAATTAATATATTTAAAACTAGAATCCTTTCTATCACTCCTTTGTAGAAATTACTATTTTTTTTTTCCCCAAAATGTTCCCCAAATTTCTGTGTTTTGGGCAACAAGGAGTGTCATAACATAATTCACTAATCAGCATTGTAGGGGTCCTAGTTCTTTTGTCACTCTTCTTGTATTTGTGTGTTTGTATTTGGGTGTTTCTGTTGCACTGACTCCCTTATTTTATGCAGGAATTAAGTTGGACATAATAGCACAATGTTTCTGCAAGTGTAAATCATTACTTCTTGCATGATAAACCATGCTACAGCAAGGTACAACTGGGAGAAAATTAAATTATTGTTCTAACTATCTGTTATTGTAACTTGTGCACTACTCTCTAGTAAGATGAGGACAGTTTTTATGATGTTCAGTGCTTCATCTCTTTAGACTATAGTTCCTCCATAAAGTAAAACTGTAGTCTTCCTTCTTTTCTTTTTCACCCTGACTACGGAGGGTCTGAAGGAAAATTGCAAACCTTCCAGCTCTATAACATAGGAATAATTTATTTGCAAAGGGTGTGTTACCTTGGGTGCCTCATGCATCTGACTCCATTGGAAATTCTCAAATCAAATACATATTTTCAAGATGTTTCTTTGGGGTAAAAAAATCATAATGTTCGCTTACAGTAGTGTCATTCAAATTTAAATTTATTTTTTTATTACTAGGATTGGTTTATCAGAAGATCGTATTAATTACCAATTAATAGCCTGATTCCCTTCTTTCTTAGGAACACCATCATTCCACATTTTGTTTGTTGTCTTCGGTAGTGGGATTGTTTTGGGTTTTGTGGAAGAGATTTTAGAATGGGGTCTGTCTAGTCATTTATGTTTTGATATTTGACAAAGGCAAATATCTGGGGCAGTATTTTTTTGGTAATCTATTTTACCTCTGTTTTGGAATTCATTGTTCTGTTCTCATTCTATACATATAAAAAGCTCATGAGTTACAGGGCAAGCTATTATCCTAAATGAGATTTTCCCTCATTGAAGTTTGGCCTCGTGAATGGTAGGCATCTACTATAAGCTAGCTTTCCAGGCTGTTTCTGTAGTCACTGAAGAATGACAGCTACTCTTGAACCTATTTCAGGATGAGATCAGCTGCCCTCTGGAGGTACTTATCCTAGATTCATTATAGTAGGAGCTTAGATTCAATGCCATTTTGATAGCTAAAGCTGGGTGAGATGAATTTTGTCCTTGGTGATAATGTGTTTCGTTCATTTTCCTCCCAACCACTGGTTTCCCCTACCCCAAGACTGAAATTGATTGGTATTGTATGATAAGGAAACTGTAAAAAAAAATATTCACCTAATAAAACCTCAGTGGCTGTATTTTAGCAACCCGTGTGTGAAGTTGAACAAAGCGGTTCTAACGTCCATCTCTCTGAGCCTGACAGATCTTCAGAACAACTTGCATTTCAGGAAACCTCAGAACTGGTACATGTAGCTTTCTGCATTGTGTGTCTGTTTATAATTGTATGCATGTCTTTGCTGCCAACATTGTTTTGGGAAATCTCAACTAATTATGATGCAATGTGCAAATAAATGCTTTAATCTTTTAGCTGTGTAATTCCTTAGCTGCTTCCAGTACTGGGGTATGATCTCTTTCTAGTTTTCTTTTTAAAACTTCTAGTTTTTAAATGTATATTTTCCTGTGCTAGCTCCCAAGTAATAAACGCATGGTGTTAATTTTAGCTTTCCAATACTAATACAAGCAAAACTGTTTGGGTTTTTTTTTCTTGTTTTGTTTTGGTTTTTTTCTGTCCTGCTGCAGTGATGTTTCCAAGCAAGTGGAAAATGAATGTACAGTGAGCCAGGCATGGAGCCTAAGCTACTAGGTTTTCCTTAGTGATCTTGCACTGCATTTGTCTGTGGGCAGTGTGACAGCAGTGCCAGACTTGGCGCTAACGGGGTCACAGGGTGTCAAGGGTTCATATCTTGTAAGGTACACAACACAGCCATTTTCCTAGTGAGGCCTTTTGTATGACTGTGAAACATTCCCGTGAAAGACTGAGAAACAAAACCGTATGTGAAACTGCAGCTCCCATGCAGCCAGGGGTGTTTGGGCCCTAGCTATAAAATTCTTTATTTCTAAAAGCATGATGATTCCCGTCTTCTTGTTAGTGGCATTCAAAGCTGTTCATAAGGCTTGCCAATGGTAAAGAAAGGAATCTTCATGCATTACTGCAGTTACGTGTATACAAGGTCTGAAAATTAAACATCAAGTACTGTTGCATATTTGCATATGCAGGGAGCAAGTGTGCTCTTCAAAGTGTTTATTCATATTTAAAGTCATGTACAGAGTGGGACCCAGGTGGGGATACATATAGAGTGCTGCAGTTGCCTAAGCGTATCATGTCACGTTGACTGTTTGAAATACCTTACCTGATCTGCAGGTGCAAGCCTTGCGCAAGTTCTGTGCCTTATCTGCCCCAAATTGGCAGGTGTAATGGATATTCCAGGGCATTTAGGCGGTTTAAGCCACTGATTCCTGCCCATTAAGTTCTATTTTGAAACATTTTTATATTGAATTTGAGGGCTTCACTGGAAGGCCATTCTGGTTGATTTCCTTTTTGTTTATAAGATGACATGAGTTGTTTGCCTTGGACCCTCTTGGAGTAGTACTGAAAGCGGGTTTTCAGTAGCTGCCTTGATTAGTCCTTGTTATATTTCATCTATATTATTGGTTATAATAGTTAGGCTGTTCCAGTTTTACTTGCATTGGTCAATCATGGATGCAGTTTTTCTTTTGTGTGGTTGAAATTAACACTAATGTGCCTTGCATTGGTGCACCTATGATAATTTGATCTTGAACCAGGATTCACAATTTTGGACCATGATTCAAAATGAACTAGTTATCAGTGTAATGAATAGTGACAAACTTTTGAATTAATTTATATAGGTAATGTGTCTCACATCTGCTAAATAATACTGATCTCACTGGGGATCAGATAAAAAAAAAGACCAAAAATTCTAGGAACTTATGTTCACCTGAAAGCCTGTTGGAGACAAAATTTGCACAGATATATGGTTACACTTTATTGTAGGAGATACTATACTCTGAAGAGGATATATTTGTAATATTCTCCTTGTGGTGTTGCTGAGTATGCCAAGGTCTGAGTTAAGAAAGTAAAATAAATGTTTGATATGTTCAAAGATGCTATGACAAGCAGTAAAATCATGGGAAAATGAGATCACATTATCAAAACAAGAATGAATGTTTGAATACTGTTTGTTTTATTGTTTTACCTGGGACTGTACAAAGCAAAAGTTTGACATTTAAGGTTTAACTTCACAGCACTGAAATGAGAACAACCAAATGATTGTTTTCCCACTGTTCTGCTTCTTCCCACAGAACGAGGTCACACATTCTGTTTCAGAGCTGTCTATTCACTTCAAACCAGAAGAACCAAGTCCAGAAGATGAACGGAGAAAATGGGAGGAAGGGCGCATGGACTATATGGGGAAAGATGCTTTTGAACGTATCAAAAAGAAATTGGATGCATTTTTACATTAAGATGGAGTGTACTGTAATGGCCATCACAATCTGTTTTTTCTATAAACGCAACCCTTGGATACTTGGCTATCTTAATAGTTTATTTGACACCGAAGTTAAAGAGGTAGTTATGGATCCTCATATATTTTGGGGGAAGGTTAATGGATACAGACTCTTGTTTTTTAACTGTTAAGCGTGCCTCTTTTTTATCGTTATGTGTGTCTCATCTTCCCTGTTCTCCCATAGTGCCTTCTGAAGTATAATGAATGGTACCCTCTGAATCTGAACTCTGGTATTTATCACTCTTCCCTGCTCCTCCCCATAGCATTCTGCAGAAACAGTCATGTGAAACATCTTGGAAGTTGAGATTATTTCAAAAGTACTTTTAGAAGATGCTATAAAACTATTTAAATTGTTCTTGAAACCAAGTTAACACTTTCAAGGGCAACCATAGCGTAGAATTCAATATGAGAAAAAAGTGAGGAGATGAAATTCTGACCTCACAGGAGTCTGCAACAAAACTTTTTAATTTAAGTATACTTAGGATTAGAGGAAATTCAGACTTTGTCTGTGAACACTAGTGGATGTTTTCCCTATTTATACAAAGTTGCTCAGCTTCATCACCAGCGCGATGAAGAGTTGTGTAAAACTCCTAAGATAGACTGATAGTGTATGTTAAGCTTTTATATTGTTGCTATAGGATACTGTTGTTTTTTTAAACGCTGTTAGCTTTACTTTCATATTCAGAGTTGCATAGTCAGAGGAAGAAATGCTGACGCTATGGTGTAAACTTTCTGGTGCTTCATACCAATTTGTTTACAGTACCCCAAACTGCAGCTGACAAAGGCACTCTCGTTTAGCACAGTTGCCCCATATTGCAGGCAGTTTGAGTGCAACTGAAAACACAGTTGGCACTTGTTTTAGTAAACAGGCTCTTCTTTTGAACAATAGCTGTGTGTGGGAACTAATAAATCTGTGAGTGTAGTTCCAGAAGAATCTACTGATGAGATTTCATCATATTAAGTACACTTGTGGGGGACTGCTTTGGGAATTTGGGTATTTATATTTGACCAATCTCAGCAAGTTTGTCTTAACAAACAAGGAAAAAGAACCGCTTTGAAAGAAAGAAGCTTGACAGGCATGCTAATATGATAACAGATTTGACATGGTTACTCATAATGCCACTCAATATTAGAATAAGAATTCTGCAATGCTGATGCAGGACTTGAAATGTCTTAATATGTCACCAGTTTTGGTATGGACATACCTAATGATATAACTTGGGAATTCTGTTAAAAAAACAATGATGTAACGTTATGCATCAGAGGGATTGCCATAGACGCTAGTGGAGAAAATAGCCAGCGTTAGGAGGGAAGGAATTTTTGTTTCTTTTTCCTCCATCAAAAAGGATGGGGTGGGGGCAGAGAGGGGAGTAACTTGCACAAATTAGGAAAGCAGTGAAAGAATCAAAAGGTCCTTAAAGGAAGAAAAATTTTTTTTGAGTACTTTAGAATTACTTTCTAATATTGACAATAGTGGATTTGCTTTTACTTTTGTAGGGTATTTCTGATTTTACCTAGTTCTTTATTTCTCATTTGTTCTAAGCACTCTTAAAGTGGGAATCTCTTTGGTGGGTCTACTGAATTCTTCAAGCTTCTAGTTCAAGTTAGATATTTAGAGTCTCTGAAGTCAGAGAGAGAGAGATGTCCAGAAGATGATTCTTCTCAATTTCTGCATTGATCATAAAGGGACCCTCGAGAGCCTGCCTCGCCTGGGTATGTAACTTTCGCATGTTAACCCGGGTAGGTGCTTTCTACCTCTGGTTGTGTATGGCCCAGCACAGCACTATGCGGAGATTATAGCAGCTGCAGCGCACTCTTAGTCGTGTGGCATTTGATCTGCCGATTGTCCCTGTTTCTTAGTGAACTTGTGCACTTCTGAGGAAGTTCTCTGCTTTATAAGCATTACTGCTAATATAATTCAAACAGTTTTTGAAGACTATATAAAACCGTTGTCAACAATGTGAACTCATGCTTCATGCAGCTGCACTTTTTACAGTAACTACTAGATCTTACTGGGCACACTAATTAGACTATAGGAGAAAAATTATGTGAAATCAGTAACTGAAAGGTTTTAAAATAAGCATATGAACGTAGTAAAACGAGCTGTCATGGAATATATTTGGAAGTGCTAATATGTAAAATGATACTGTAGGTGGACTAGACAATGTTTTCTGAAGAAATGTAGTATATCAATGTCATGGAAATAAAATAGGAAATGGAAAGGACATATGAAGTCATGTGCTTATCATATGACGCAGGGTTACAGGTTGTTTATGTTGTGCCAGAGAGTATTATTGGTGACTGGTTACTTTAATATGTTTTTTTAACTTTATTAAACTGCTTTTGAGACATTAGCACTACCAGCTGAGCAGAATTAAAAGGTGCAAGTTACAGTTATTTCTACAGACATACATAATTATAAGCTTTAGGACCTCTTGAATTAGCACAACAGTAGTTGGCTTATTGCATTTCATGGAAAAGTATAGCTGTGGTTAAAACCCTGCCCAAGTTTTTTTATGTACTGTCTTCACATGAAAAATATTGAACTAGTTACAAGTAGTGTAGTGTCGTAGTGGATTCTAGCACAGTACTGTTGTCGTGAGGATGTGAGAAGTGAGAATCTTGTGAGGGAATCCAGAATTGGCAAGTGCTGTGCTTTGGGCAGCAGTCTTTGCTCTTACAGACATCGTTCTGAAATCTTGGGGCCACAAGCATGTCTGGGGGAGTGTTATGGGCAGCATGTTGCTGTGAACCACAGGGTTGAGGTTTGTTAAGTCAAAGCATGACTTGTAAAAAAAACCCAAAACCCACCAACCAAACAAAAAACCAAAAACCCCTACCAATCATCACCTAGAATTTCTTCCACGATAAAGTGTGGTATGGCCATGGGTATTTTTAGGGTAAAGAAAGTTAAGAAATTTAGGCATTTTGGTGGCACCATTCCTCCCTAAACAAGGCACGTTTTCACTTCGGCAATTTGGAAGGCGCTGTAGAATAATAAACTCAAATGAAATGTAAAGGAGAAAAAAGGCATAATAAAATGAGAACCACTGAAGATATTTTACCAGCTGGTCTCTGTGTGTGTGTGTGTGAGTGAGACTGAGAGTTTTGTCAGTATTGTTTAAACCCTAGTGACCTGAGAAGCAGCTGTAAGTATTTTGAAAGGCCAGACTATGACCTATTGCTGTGTGGCAGACCATATTTAAAGAGGACAGCTGGTGTTTAAAACAAAACATCCTGATTCTTCTTCTGTTATGTACTTAGAGTCATTCACAGCTAGACTTGGAGGGTAATTTTATTTGCCATACAACAATTTTATTGGGTGCTCCTCATGTATAAACAGGAGATAGTGTGGGTGTGCCACAAAGAAAATTCTTGAAAATTTTAGACATGTGGGTTAATGCACTTTCTTAGCCTACGGGAAAAGGATTTTGTTGTTCTTGAAATACTACTTTACTTACTGCCTGGTGCCTTGTGAGGACCTTTCCAGCTGGGTTGTTCTTGGGAAAGAAGAAGTTTTCTTTGTTTCTCTAGTTCAGTCAGCTCACATCAGTTGTTTTGTAAGGATGGTATTTGAAAAAATACTTAGTTGTTTGTTGGTTTTTTTTACCTTGATTCTTCTGTCCACTAACAGCAGCCTGGGTTAATAGCAGGTGGCTTTATACGTTTGCATGTCTTACTTGTTCAACAGAAACAGTTTGTTTGCTTTATTCCTTAATGGGTCTGATTCTGTTGTCTTGCTAAGCTAAACTGTTTTGGTTCTTATGACTTTGCAAATAACATGAGATGGGCCTGTTTTCTTAACTCACATCTCTAGTATCTTTACCTTTGTGTAAAGGTGTTTATGTCAGCCTATGGAAAAAATAGTTTATAGATTTGATTGCTTTTTTCCCCAGTTTTTCTTCATAATTTTCAGATTTTATTTATGTGTTGGGTTTGTTTTGTTTTTTGGTTTTTTTGGGTTTTTTTTAAATCAGCCCTATAAATGAGATGAAATGCACGGCAGTCAATTCTTAAATAGACTGTAAATAATACTAGTCATTGAAATAGTCTGCATTTTCAGTCTATTTGTTGCAAAATGCTTCAGCTGAAATTCTGTTCATCCTGAGTTGGCTGGCTCATAAATAATAGTTTCTTTGGTGCTGACAGTTAAAAGGAGAGATGCTCAAGCAATATGTTGCATCCTGGTACAAATTTTTAAACTTTTGTAATAACAGCATACCATAATTGCAGCAAAGGTAGTTAAAAAAATTACAATGATATATAATTTACTTCAAGACATTATAGAAACTGATTGTTAGAAGACTGGCAATGATATACTGTGAATACAGGGGGGAAAAAAAAAAATACAGTTGCAATCATTTTTCCTGAATATTAGTTTGCCTATTGTCAGAACCCTTTCAACTTCAAGAAACTAGAGGGGAAAAAAAATTAAAATTCCAAGACAACCAGGACTTGTGATTATTTTATTACTGTTCCTGCTTCAGGATGGCATGACGTTAAATGCCTTTGAAAAGTGTTTGTACAGTACCATAAAAGGGAACAGGGTTCTGAACCATGGTAAATATAGGTGATTTTCCTTTAGATGTGTAATATCAGAAACAGGTGATTTGTTTCATTTTAGAGAACTATGATTTTTCAAAGCCTTCTCATAGTATCAAATACTTGAAAAAAAACTGATTGCATGTGATGGGTGAGTACCTGTTTTATGTTTTGTTCAGTTTAAAGACTTACTTTTTAAACCTCCTTAAATTCTTTGTGTTTTCAAACCTTTTACTTAGAGCTTTTAGACAAGTGGCAGGACAGAAACCAGGGTCATTTGGAACCTGTAATATCCCCATTTATCTCTGAAATATGGAGTTGGATTTTTTTAAATTATTTTTCTTGTTTTCAAAATATTTTGGTAATGCAGTAGTACGGTAATTCAAAGAGAAACTAGGCTTTTAATAAATTTGATTTTTACAGAGCTGTTTAGATGTAACGTAACAATCAAAACATTCTACAAAAATCT